AAAAAAAATAACAAGAGCCATTGGATGCTAGGTGCTGCAGTGAGACAAATTCAGACTGGAAAGAAAATCCTGTTTTATTGCTTAAACAGTGATGACCATTGCTCTCTGAAATAAGTTACCGAAGGTACCGCTAAGTTTTCCATTACTAGACTTCTTAAGTCTTCTGTTAGAGGACATTGTCGTGTTCAATCTCTGTTCCCAGAGTTAAAGAAGCAATTAAGACAAGCATGTTTAATAATTATATTAAGAACCGTTCATACTAGAGAACCACAGTGGTAGCATCCAGTTGTTGAAATGATGATGAAAACTGTTTCTTTTAACATGCTGGACCCAAACCCGGTGGGGTCTTTAGGCTTGCCTTCCTATTGAAGGCTCATCACCAAGTATTCTTGACTTAATGGGACCATTCACATGGATCAGAACCAGGGTACTCAATGCTGGGAGTATGAATGCTTTTTTGCAGTGGTGGTTAAGTTGTACCATGTGTATGGGTGTTTTCCAAAGCACGTACCTCAGGGAATGATGTTGTGATTCCAGTCAGTGGCCTCCAACCATGAGTCGCTGTGTTGCAGTGGGAGCCTGCTGCCCCCTCAGCTCAATGGTGGCACCTGGAACTGGCTGAGAGCACCTTGTCTGCATCATCGATGGCCTGGGTTCTCCATCGGGCTGAGCGTTTGCATGGGCTGGCAGCATCACTGGCGTGCTTCCTGGGCACGTGCTACTGACCTATTTAACAGAAATGAGGCCTCTCCCAGAAAATACTCTCAGTCCCCCCAGGACCAGATCTAGTTTTTAGTGGCATAAAACCACTTCTTTGACACGTATAATGCTGTGTTAAATGCACGATTTTTATGCATTTTATAATGTTCATCTCTCTGGTATAGGCTTTTACAACTTTCTCCAGCCCTTCCAGCCCCAAAGTGTCTACTTAAATAACTGAAGCTAGATGCTGGTATAAAAAATAAAGTAAATCTCATAAATGTTTTTTCTCTTAGTTTTCTCATCACTCACTAATAATTTTGGTCTTCATTAAGAGGTATGCAGTATCCATTCTTTTGGTCTTGCTTTGTCAGTTTTTCTCTGTTCCTCACAGGCTCCCTTCTTTCTACTTGGGCTAGTTTCCAGTTTAAATGGCTCATTTCCTCTGTACCTCTTTCTCTTCTCTAAGCTTCCTGTGAAGCTGTGTGCATCTTCTCCAAGTGCACACAGCTTCTGTATTGGTAAAGGATAGGATAAATGTTTTGGTTTCACTTTTATGAGATAGATTAATTCTTACTTCCAAAACATCAGCGTGCAGTAGAGTAGCCAGAGAAAAGATAGTTCTTCTGACCTCTTTCAGATCACGGCCTTTGTAGTTTCCATTTCAGTGGTTGATCAGAAAAGTTTACCTCCTAACCACTGTCCTGGTCAAGCAAGTCTGTGACTTGACTATCATTAGCAAATGATAGACAGCATATAGACTGACACCTTCATGATTAGGGACTGTAATATCAGAAAAATAATATAGGGTAATTCTGGGGAGATCTCCCAAATTGTGTTCATAGGGTCCTAAATCATTACAGAGGTTCTTTATTAAACTATTTTCCATTCCTAGTCTTTAATGTAAATGACAGATTTCACTGTCCTAATCTCTGGCGCTAGGTTCTGTTTAATGCTTCTTGTATGCAAAATATATTTTAGCTCATGTAGCCTTTTATCCACAACTCGTACTTTAGAAGGTTATTTCTTTGGTAAGATGCCTGTTATTTAGTGGAAGTAATAACAGGCTGTGTGCATTTTTCTGGATTTTTAAAATTCTAATTTAAGCGATAAGCAATTTATGCAATATCTTGAGGTTCCTTGACACATTGGAATTGAAAGAGGAGAAATGGAAGGAAATGACAAATCTTTTCTGTTTTCTGTTTTTTTTCTCCATCCTTGTTTATAATTTTTCACTCATCAAGTATTTCTCAACATGTGGTTTTCAAGAAGCAGGGTTTGATTAATGAAGTGTCAGATACAGAAGATGTCATGAGAATTTTGGCATTTATTGTTTACAGCATTTAAATTAGCCATGGTGTTTTCAATATTCCTTATTTTTTATTTACTATATCTGTTATCCTGTTGATAGTAAACACCCTCTTATAGCAAATATGAGTACATAGTAAATTTTGATCTTTAGACGTCTGCAGGAATTCAATATTTATACAAAAATTATGCCAGTTATTCAGATTTGCATGTTGATGGAAATCCTTTATTTATTTATTTATTTATTTATTTAAAACCAAGACAGTGGAGAGTGTTAGACTACTTAAACACTAATGATTTCAGTGATATAGACGCTTATGTACCAAGCCTAAGGCCATCAAAATTATTTTACATAGGGAAATAGACAGCTCTCTAAACCTGGCTAGAATTACATTTTTGGCAATATCAGCAGGTTGAATAGAAGTTCAGTTGTTAACATTTTATTTAGTATTCCCTTACTCTAGTCATCTGAAAACCTGTGTGCTAGACAACAGACTTCTATATTATCATGCCTTCCATATAGAAGGCATGCCTCAGCTTAATGTAGCTGGGAACAGCTCTGATGAGACCCACTAAACTGGGATGTTTCTGTGAAGGTTTTATGATGGATTTGTGATTCTGTATTAGTATAGTTAGTGGATATTGTATATACAATTGCCTTGATGTACTTCTGACATGTCTATGAGCTTGTTCACTCCTGTAGGACTGTAGAGAGATTTTTCACTTCTGACACGCGACACTTGAGTGTCAGTCTTGGTATTATACTTCTTATGCTAGCAGGTCTACCTACCCTTGAGTGCTTCTCGTATTAATAGAGCCTGTATAAAAGGAGGAGAAGAAAGAAGCATATATTCAATTTAGACTATTGGATTGTCTTTCTTTTGCACTGTATCCTTGAATAAATTAATATATCTCCCAGATAATTATGTGCCTTGCCTCTTACTGAAGAATTTTTTCTTTCCCCACACATGTTAAAAGTGACTTCCATGTTTTTACTGTGCTCCCCTGTTGCAATATTCTCTGTCAGAACGTGTTATCCTCTTTGACAAGGTGTGTGTTATTCTCCCAATACATAAACACTTTAGCCTAACTATGCCATTGAAAACGCTTGTGATTCAAGAACCTGGGTGATACTGCTCCTGTATTGTGTAGAGGTATTTGGAAATGTTCCCAGTGACTTTTCAGCAAGCACTTAATGTGATTCATAATGCTCTGGGATAGAATCACAGATGTGAGAGAGACCTACTACATCATCACTTCCATTTTCATATGAGATCAGGTTATATTCCCTCAACAGAAGATACATCGAGTATTAAATTCACACTACATTTGCTCTCCAACAACTTTCCAAACCTGGCAGGAAAAACATCATCCTGATAGTTCTTTAAAAAGCATGAAAAGACCCAGGCAGTCAAGGCTGCCCTGTCCCTCAATTTTAAAAATCCTATAGCAGATTTTTACATTACGCTTTCAGTGATGTTTTCAACACCCATTTAACTATGTTGTCTGTACTGAGACATCTATGTAGGTACGTATGTCGCACGTGAGCGCTCTGCAGAGGCATATCCTGGATGTATGGGTATGTCTGAGGAGACAAAATTGCAGACTATTTCTTTGGAACTAATTAGTATGACTTACGAAAAAGGCGGGGGGGGGGGGGGGGGATCCCTAATTCTTAATTAATCTGTTTCTTGGATACAGTGAATATATTGTAAATACAACCTTTTTCAGTTTATTGTACTACCTTTCTTTAGTCAGAATAGATCACATTGAATTCAGGCTGTCAACTGTGGGAAGTTCCTGCAATAAATTCAATTCTACAACTTAAATCCTTCCTTTTTTTTAACTCTTTCTTCCCTTCTCCATCCTTCTCCCCTCCCTCCTCAGGCAGCCAAGGGCAGTTTCCACTGACACAGAACGTCACGGTCGTTGAAGGGGGAACAGCAAATTTGACCTGCAGGGTCGATCAAAATGATAACACCTCCCTCCAGTGGTCAAACCCAGCTCAACAGACACTGTACTTCGATGACAAGAAAGGTAAATTGTTTCCTGAACTCGTGGTTCTGCATCATTTTTTTTTTCTAAGAGAGAAATGTTTTAAGCCATTTCCCTTTAATATTTTAATGTGAAAATATTTGCTAGGAATGTATGTTTTCAGCTCTAATTATTAGATAGTCTCTTTGAGGGGGCAGTCACTCTCTTGCACATAAAATTGTATGTTATTAAAGGAAAATAGTAACGTTTGAAATGCCTATTGCAAGGTAGTTTGGAAAATATTGTTGCAAAATATCTTGGAAGAGCATTTATGGGTGGGGAGAGGCTGGCAAGAGAAGAAGTAGTCCCTAAACCTTGTGGCTTGCTTTTAGTAGCAAGTGTTTGTGTGTATACATATATGTATTTTATATATATTTATAGATATATGTTTATAAACCCACTACTTGCTTGAGGTGTGCTGTAGTTTTGTTTGGTTGTTAGTGCAATACCCAGTTGCTGTGGTAGGTTTTCTTACTGTAACAGCTAATAAAAATGCTCAGTTTCAGTGCCCTGATTTTTCCAGTTGTACCATGCACAGATTTTTTAATTTTAGATAAATTAGAGGGGAAAAAAGACAGTAAAATGTCCATTCCTTACAAAAAGGAGGGCATTATCACTGCAGTAGGATATATTTCTAAGACATTTACCTTAATCTGAAGTGAAAAAGCATTACATTTTACATAATAGAACGTTAACATAAGGATTACATTAGATTCAGTAAAGAAATTAAAACTAAATTTGTGAGGAATAAATTCACCACTTGGCTTCAAAAATGCAAAAGCTTTGGTGTTGATTTCAGCGGCACAGAAGTTCATCAGTACTTTATACTTAATTCTACTGCTTGAATTTTGTTCTGAAAGGTGCTACATATTCTAGAACATATTTTAACAAGTGCAGTTACTCCTCTGCTTAAAATTAAAGAGGTGCTGTCCAAATGCTTTGCTGAATGATTACAAGACTTTAAAACACCTTGCAGGACTGAAAATGCTTTGTGGATCTATGCACTTCAATAAAAGTAGAGTCTAAAACCTGTCATTTTATACCTGCAGAAGCTACAATCGAAATATGTTTTTTTGCTATTAATATAATAGCTGAATAGAATCTCTTTATGGTGTTGAAGTGGTTCCTTTCTCTTTTATCTAATTTCCTGTAGCGTGTAATCATTTGATTTGCAATTTCTTTGAAATCATAAGTACCTTTTGAATGTAGGATTGAAGATGAGAGGCTTATAATGTGCAAACTTTTGAGCTGTAAGTCTAGTCCTGTAACCTTTACTCATATGGACCCCTTTATTTTATCTGTAATCGTTAGTGGTTTGGGATGGGTAGATAATGTCTGCAAAACTAAAAGCAGAGAGAACTTGTCCGTTGATAGAGCACATCAATACTCACAAAATCCATATCTTTTATAAAATAAGTGACATTTTAAAGGATGCTGAGAAAGATGTGGGAGGACTGCAAATAGATTAATTTGAACTTTGTAGCCATTTCGGTGTGAATTGAATTTTCTGTGTACTTTAGCTAAATCTGTACTTTTACAACGAATAATTGAAGTTTGCATTACTTTTTAATATAATGAATTGAAGCAACAGAATTTGAATGGCATGCAGCATAGTAAGTACTTCGAAGCAATTTATATTCCCCACAGGAAACGTGAGGAGCTGAAGTGTGTAAATTTAAAGGACCACACTCTTTATTGAACTTTTAGCTTGTCCCAAGACTTCAGGGAATACTTGATGAATCATTTGATGGAGGGATTATTGTGCATCTATTAGACAGGAAAGTGTCTTGATGTGGTCAAGAAAAACTTTAGGTCCTTCAGTCAGAGATATTTAGTCTTTCGTATGTTGGCAAGGCTTTGCATTCTGTGTGACATTTCCAGATTGGAGTATACTGAGGGGAGCGAGCAGTGCATCCAAGTGCTACACGGAAAACATTCTGGCATTTCTGAAAATGAAGTTACAGCTTTCGTTGGCAATTTTTTCTGTGTGTATATGGATGTGTTCTTATAAGAAAGAAAGAGGTTTTCTTTACATGCTTTTGGTGCTTGTGTTATAAGCCAAAATGGAGAGACATATTTATGGCTCTGATATGTTGGTGGTTTTCTCAGTAAATGATGGCACGAGCAACTGTAAAGGCTTCCTCTTTTTTTTTTTTTGTCTTTCCTACTTCTCCCAGCCAGGCATCCAAGTTGGCTATAAAAAGCAGCTTTCTACTAGATCCAGTCATTACAGTTAATTTATTGAGAGCAATGTTTCAGCCATAGTCTTTTCAAACCTGTCTCTTAATATTAACCAAAAACAACCTTCAGATCTTACTTCTCCCTTCAGCACCATGAAAATCACTGTTTAATGGCTGTGTTTCTCAAACCCTGAAAATTCACGAAAACTGTTGAGTAGGTGGAGGGTATCCAATGGTGTAGGGTTAAGTTCTGTGTAGGAAACTGAACCTTAGAAGAGGAGCACCACCAATAGCCTTTATATCCATAAGACCTGAGTAACTGTGGATATTGCCACGTTCAGAACTAAGTCAAATTTTCATGCCTTTACCTTTACTTCCCTTCAGTAGGTTATTTTCTATGTATGTACTCATAAGAGTGACACACAACAGAATGACAGTATTTTTCTTTTATGTCTGGAAGCATAAAAAACATTCAGGAAACCTCTCTGTTGATTGTTCAGTATTTTAATGATTGTGAGTCAGGTACTAAAACGAAGGAAACCCGGTAAAACCCACAAAAGAGGGTCCTAACTACAGAAGCAGATGAGGGAGATGACAGCTCCCAGCTTATGGCAGAACAGGTGCCAAACATAGAGCAAATTGTCCATGCAGTCCTCTGCTGCTAGACTGCCCTTGGTGGGACCCCTTTCATGTTTACGCTTCTTTCTCAAGCACCTCGGTTCCCCTGTCTTGCAAAAACATTTTCTGACCAAAACAGAACTTGCCGTGGGCCAGGAAAAAAAGAGTTTCTTGGTCAGATGGAGGGAATGCCCCATGCCTTTCAACAAGGGATTCATTGTTAGTCTCCATTTTATTCAAAATGGATGATATATACTATGAAAATCACATTCATGTAATTTTGCTTTCCTCTGAACTATGATGCAATCATTGACATTGAAGTTAGGAGGCATATTCTTACTTTTTCTGGTTTAGGTATTCTAAACAAGTAGGGAAATACAATGAGCCAAATCCACTAATACCAAAGCTACATTGTTAAAATTATTCTTCTGGTTCTCCTCACATACTGCCACGGCCACATGTTTTTAAGTACAACTTTTGCTTGGTTGGGAGGATTATGTGGCTGGTAAAGAACACTTCCTCCCCCACCCTCCCAGCAATTTAACATTTATTTAATATTTTTGGAGGAGACAAGGACTATTTTTAACTTCAGACTTTTTTGACACCTAGCCTACACAGTGTTATTATGATATAGATAGAAAATGAGTAGAGTTTTGTTTCAGAAAAGGCAGTGATATAAATTAAGTGGATGTGAAACCACAGTTCAGAGGTTGCTTCCAGGCCCTCATCACATGAAGTAGCTGTTTTGCTTCTTGTTGTAAATTTAGGCCTGAAATATATTTGACTCATTGTGGTGATGGGAATTGGGGGAGGAAATAAATCCTATTTTCCTATAAGAAAATAAGTTATAGCTTAATTTTATTAGCTAACTAAGGTAAAACAGTTGCTTCTATCCAACTCTTATTTGACACTCTAAAATATATTAAAGCTGGAACTCACTTTGTCTTCATTATTATTTAAACAGACAGTAGCTAAAGTATGTGAAAATACAAATGTTTGGTCTTGTGGATTTGGCCTCATTGATGACCCATCTCCTTCAGCATGCTATCTCTTTGCTGTCCTTTCTGATATTTCTGTTTTTCTGGTTCTTCTACCTTGTAGCTTCAAGGACATTGAGTATCAATTTGATTTTTAACTCTTCCTCTTTCATTCAAAGCATAATCTCTTTACCTGACAGTAAAAAATAGATAGTCAGTTGCATAAATGGATAGATGGTCTTAAATTTTAATAGGCTTAACAACCTTACCAAGACCCCCCTTGGTTTCACACCCCCCAGACAGAATTTTAAAGATTGTGTCTTCCTGGAAAATATGAATTCACAGCTCACCCTGAGCAAGTTCAGATTCTTTGGAAACAAATGCAAATTGCATGCTGCACATGAAACGAGTTATCACTTTATGCACCCAAGTACCTATAATTATATAGCTGCCTTTGGAAGAAGCACAATGTGCAACAACGTAGAACTGGCAGATCTGATTTTAAATTAATATAGGTTATTTTATTTTATCTTCACTGGTGGTACTACTTAAGGATTTCGAGCGGGCAATAAACACAGGCATAAATATGAATGCAGATGTATAACAAAAAGGGTGTAGCATAGAAACACAGAGATGTTTGATAAAGAGAAGGCTGAAAAGAACCTTCATTCAGCCTGCTATAGCAGCTGTGTTCTCATATTCCCTTTCAGTAGGGAATATAGATACATATGGAGCAGGATATTGAGTTATAAAGGAGACATGTACAACTGAACGATGGGTGTTGATGTCAAAGGTGTTTAATCTCATCAATATAAAAATGTGTAATCAGGCTACAGAAGGGAAGAGAAGTGGTACCTGGTGTATATCTTAACAGTTTTGCTCAGTCAGGCAAGTGAAAGTGTAAAACGCCTGCTCTTCACCTTACCAGGGAAGTTTGCAGGTCTGTTGCTAGTAAAACAAGCGTTGTGTTGACATTGGTCATGATAAGTTTGCCACAAACTGACACGCCGGATTTTGACGAGACATATGCCTGGTGCTAATCATAGATGGGTACACATCCCTTGTGCTTTCATCAAGTAGTAACACTTTCATGTCTTACTAAAACATTAGAGAGCATATACCAACCTCAGGATTATTCATCCCTCAGCAGCAGAATATGTTTCTTTAGATGACCTTTGATTCTTTTACATGTAAGAATACTTGGCATTTATGTAACTCCCTATCATCT